TGAAAGGGTATGGACTTGTCTTATTATAACAAACAATTTCCAAACATTTTAAACTTTTTAATTAGCGCTTAAAGTTGGGACACAGACCAGTCTGTCTTGCGGCTGTTTATTATTGAAAAGGAAGCTCTCAGAATAGTATTGTCAAGTTTTTTGGTCATCTTAGGGATCATTTACGGCACACACTAGAGAAAAACAAAAATTGCTTTTGTCGCAAATTTTGATGCGTGGAATAAAAGGGTTGTTGTGTTTTACTATCTTTTACGTTTTCAATTTCGGTATTTTCTCTCATACAGCTGAACTATACAAATCGTTCAATTTCGGGATTTAAATACCCGAAATAAGCAATTGCTTTTCATAAAACAACAGTGTGTAAGGAAATCCTGTCATCTGAGCGTGTAATCACAGATGTAATGACCCTATCCTGTTTCGTTTCCTTCAGACCCGCATGCAAGACAACCAAACCACAGTTAGCGTGTAATTTCGTTTCCTCATTCAGATTCGGCCCTGGGACTACGCGTAAATAGTGGAGATTTCCACTGATGACATAATGAATTTAAAATGAGACTAATTAAATTAGCTATATCCGGTCCCCACTTTTTGGCGTGTATCTCATGAAAACCGACTACATGGCATCGCTGTTTAACCACCGATTCAGGATCGCAGCGTGCTTTCCAAAGTCTGTGAAGTTAACTGTACTCTTTCCTAATAATTTTTGTATGTGTTTAATCTTATATTTTCCAAAATTTATTAACATAAAGCAAATTACGATGCATATTCTAAGCGGAAAGCGTGCTCACAAGATCGGCGCCACGTTGAAATTTTGATGCACATGTTCCAATGTTGTAACCCATTGGGATATGTGCATCAAAATTTTCATATATATATATATATATATATATATATATATATATATATATATATATATATATATATATATATATATATTGCAATGCGTAAAGTGATACAGAAAATACAGAAAATCATGTCATAAACCAACGTTTTTATCCAACCTCTTAAAGAATTGTTTTTACAAAATTGTCATGATAGTTCAACCAATGAATAACTTAACCATATAAAAACCGGAGTCGCATTTTATATTTTGTACAGTCGTCTGTGCGTGCAGTCCAAATTTTCTATAACGTTTGCGGAGTTTTGGCTTCCCACATACATGTACGGTGCAAAGATACCGGGTAGTAGACATATGTGACCATTCGAATTTGCAGGGTTATCCCTCAGTTAAGCCTACCCAGGGTTCCTCAGTGTTCTCGAATTTGTAGTCATCTACCATTTTTTTACCAGTTTTGCAGTTTTCAGACTTTTTTCTTGATGACCATCAGAAAAAAAAACAAAATCAAACTTAATACATGTATTTACTTCTGTTTAAAAGGCACGAAGTGGTTGTTTTTCGACTTAGATCCAGCAATCTGTTCTTGTGTTGCTTCATTGATGAATTCAATTCAAGAACTTCTGTCTTACCGAAGCGATTCTTAAAAGGCATTAAAACGTGATTTCATTCTTTGTTTTTATTAATCAGCCAGAAAAATAAGAAAAGCATCGAAGGAAATTAATTTGGGGAAAAGTTCACATAGATACAAAGTTTGTATTTATTGATTCAATAGTCGTTACTTTTAAAGCATTTCTTTCTGAATTAATTATACATGTATGTCAAATATATGGATTGTTATAGATATACAGGTAAAAGACGTTAATCTTCAAGGATCTTTCTAGAGAGATCATATTGTAAAAGCCGCATTAACGCATTAAAGCATTTCTTTCTGAATTAATTATATGTCAAATATATGGATTGTTATAGATATACAGGTAAAAGACGTTAATGTTCAAGGATCTTTCTAGAGAGATCATATTGTAAAAGTTTGCATTAACGAGTTATGGGAATGGTGTTCTTCACGGTTCAGGCTAAGTAATATGAACGCTACACTATTCCCGGGAAATAAATAATGGCTTTCACGGGTAACGAAAAATCTCAATGGAGCCCTCTGAGAAGGGTTCACTAAAGCGCACGCATACACACACACACACACTATAAAAGACGTTAATCTTCAAGGATCCTTTTAGAGAGATCATATTGTAAAAGTTTGCATAACCTAATTTTTTAATAATTATCAGAGATTTAGGTTCCCGAACCTCAACTACCCCGACTCTCCTGGACCATTGTCGCCCATCATCTAAGTTATCCCTCCCCCCCCCCAAAAAAAAATAAACACACACGTACACACACGCACACACACACACACACACACACACAAACACTCCACTCCTCCATAATTCATAATTCTGTTTTCCAAATGATCTTTTTGTCTTTTTATTTTAACATATTTCCTTTGTGTGCCCTAATTGCTGTAAAGCTTGGTTTGGCGACATTTACTTTTGCAGAAAGCATGCTATGACTACCCATGACGTATTACGTCATTTCTTTAAGAACATATTTATCCCCCAGTCCCACCTTACTTTCTGTCTTCACTAACACAATTGGGTGATATTTGTGGTGACCGTCACAATCATGGTTGAGACAGCATCAAAATCGAGATACCGCAGCCTTTAGAAGGTCCGTCTAGCCAGCAATTATACCTTCGTGTACCTAGATCAATTTTGCCAAGATCGGACCTTTTCCCGGCAGAAGGGGCAAGTCGTTTGACCCCCCCCCCTCCCCCGCCATGACGGACATGATAGAAACGGTTTCTTTCAAACTTAATTGTACTTCTGGTATGTTATTAGGTATAATATCCATCGTGCAGGGCCAGCTACCACACTGGGATGTCACACGTGTCTGGGCCGGACAATGGTATGTGACTAAAATAAACCTGACAAAAATGCCGTTTGATTGGCAAAAATTACTCAGACATATTCAACGTGTAGGCTGTTTACTTTTCCTAAGCATGAATATTTCTTTTTCCAAACAAATGTAATGACGTACAGTATCAAGTACTTAAGTCTAAATTGTTTCATCAGTTTGGTGGATGGTAGTTGTAAAAGCTCTTTTGTCTAAAACTTTAAATTTACTCACATGAGATATTTCAATGGAAAATCGGTCATCTTCATCCGGCGCTGAGTGACACAGAAGGCGTTGTGTCACATAGTCGAGACTATTGGGCGTGTCACTCACCAACTAGTGAAAATGGCCTACAGTCCATCGAACAATCTCATGTGAGTAAATTTGCAGTTTGTTACAAAAGAGTATATTTACTACTTTCAACAACTGTATTTCTGCGTAACCTTCTTTGGCAATTGCTTTTATCAAACTAGGTCCTATTGCTTGAACGGGTGCTGGGTCAGTTTGAAAGCTTATTAAACGTAAGTAAAATTTGGCTAGTTTCTTGTTTTATCACAATACTGTTTAAATTCCCAGTTGCTATTTCAACAAGAAACACCAGTTCTTCCAAGGTCTATCATTATACAACTCTTCCTTGGCTCATAATATATAGTGGGGTGCCTATTTCCGCAGACTGTCAACATGGACGCCATTCGCCGTAGTGTGGTTTCGTGGAAGGAATATTATAATAGAGGTGATGGACGATATCAAGCTTTTCAACACTGAGAACTTAGTTTCCTATGCCATTTTATGTAATTACAGTTCAATATTCACTTGTGATGGAGCAGGCCAGTCAACGTAACCCTATGTACAGAATGCTTAGCAATGAAGATTTACGCGGTTTGTTGCCTGACCTAAATTGTCTCTGAACACTCAGCTGATAGCCACTCGTATCCATACTTTGAACAAGACTCCTCAGGCGTAGCACAACAATATGAACTTTATTACGAAACAAACAGCTGCGGATATTCACAGTATGAAGCCCCCACCCCACCTCCCATTTGTTGCATATGTCCATTTACAGGGCATACCGAGTAAGTATGACCAGGCTTTTTTGTAGTGCAGTGCATGACACATCGCTGCGACAAGATTGGATTCAATGGCACAGCGTGAAGATAACCTCTTACGTTTACAATGGTCTGCAGTATAAATGACATCACCAACAAACTTGAAATAAAAAACTTAATTGAGTACAACTAATTCGTAAAAACGGGACGCTCTGCATGCGCAGTTTGTGATAATTTTATCAATATGTGCCCTAAACAAATGACGCTAGATTATTCCAATTACCAGAATCCACTGGTTTGAAATAAGACTTTAGGCGTGTGATGCAAGCACATTTCTTTCAACGTTATGATAGCTCTTTCTTTAAAATGACGGCATTTTTGTTTTTATTTCGTAGAACACAAGTCACATCACGATTATCTCTTCACCAAAATGTTTTGTTAACTGTAACGTGTCAGTCATTTTGATTTCCCCGAGTGAAAGTCGCTTTAAATAATTTTCTAAAGATAAACTGAATCCACAGATTTTGTTTTATGTTGGACAAAACTCTTTGGCAACGTTCCATAACCAGACATATCTATTGTCTGCGACCGTTCGTGTATCCGCCTCATTTCACTCCTCTTTTTGACCAGTCTGGGAGAGTTCCTGCTGTCAGGTACTAATTGTGGCGTAACTGTCAGTGTTTGAGACACAGCACCAGTGTTGCTTGGGTTGAGGTTTTCTTTGAATGAGTTATGCCTGCTCGCATTTCTGTCACCGTTGTATTTTTCTTTGGCTTCTCGAAGGTTGTCAAGCCACGCCGCCTAGAAAGAAGAAATCGTCCTTACTAATGGCGTTTATTAAGTTTTTCTAATCTCACGTTAACAGAACAGTAATACAAGCACTGTATTTTGGGTAGTTTTTAATATTTATAGTATTCATATATCCCACCATGTCTTCTCACAGCAATCGCATGTACCAAAGCACAAAAACATGGCATTCAGTCTTGTCGTTTATAAGACGCGGCCTTTGGGACTGCATGTGATTTGGTGTTCCGCTAGTGTTTATGCGTGTAATTCGCCAAGACGCAATCCAAAAATAAAATAAATGGAAGACGAGCTTCGAGTTGGTAAATAAAAATGGATTCTCGTTTTTAAACATTTTAGAAAAGTATTTATCAAGATACTTTCTTCAAACCGGGATAGAAGTAAACATGAAAACTATACCTCCTTAAAACTGCGATAGCACTGTAGTAAACATATATATATAAGTGACACAAAAGATAATGTGATAAATGGAAGGGTGTACATATTTTAAGACTGCTCAAGGAGCTTACTTTATAGAATCATTTTCCAGTTTTACAAGCCCCTGACCATTAATATACGCTTATAGTGTAAACATGCAATGCTTACCTTTGCTGTCTCTGATGGAGCTTGGAATGTGTAAATTCCAACTATTTGCTGAAACCTCGTTATTTGCACTATTACGAAGGCGTTTTTCAACCCATTAGCTGGAAGTGGAATGTAAGAACCAACGATTGTAAAATGCATTAAAGTATGGTTGTGGTATTTTTTTGATGAACACCAAAATAGTACTTCTGTGGATTAAGTGGATATTCGTTGCACTGAAGGCTGTAGTCAAATCAACAATGAAGTTTAATTTAGTTCACTGACTACTAACCACTTAAATTCTTGAAAGATCACTTTAGATTGTGGCAACACGAGCACGTGGCAAAATGCCAGATATTTTTAAAGAATTGAATGATACCTAGGAACAACAACTTGTAGTAAATAAGTCAGTTTTTTTTAATAAGAGAAATCAAATATTAAAGCTATGGCGACTTATGAGTGAGTTGTTAAGATACCAGTTCACGAACATAGGAACTCTGTAACTTTCACACTCTCTTACGTTAGAGAAAGACTTTTTACGGCGCACCATGACAGGCAAAAGCTCAAAAAATTGTTTGTTATGTAAAAGGTGGGGACATTTTTTTGGCTACACCTTTACCACAAACGCGTTTTGTTCAAGCACATTTCTCTTTCCATTGCTGGTGTATTAATATCGTTGCATACTAAAGAACTGTGGTCTACATACATGTAGGCCCTATGCTTCTTCTTGTTAGGAAGACTTGATTCTTGATTCTTTTAACTGTTTTCCCATGAAACTGAAAGTTGTCTTGGTAATATTGCCCCCTCCCCCTTAAGCACCTACCTTGTGCCTCGGCTGGCCCTACGTCATGCAGACTGAACCGGTCCAAAGAAATGGGCTGCCTGTAAACTGTGTATGTCCCTGGGGACGCATCAGCTTTGTAGTTGTTGGGGTTCTGATCAACCACTGACGTTTTCTGTATTAAATATAAGATCGTTATCAAGGTATCTACGTCAAGCTTAGTAAGAATGATAAATATGGTTAAAACACTAGACTTCAGGTTTCTATTAATTCCATCAGCTGACTCCAAAAGAAAATTAAAGATGCAGTCAGCGTTTTGGTTATGTAAAAAATGCCATTTAAGTTGACCATGTAGATTAGCGAGGCATGCAGTGCGGAACAAAATGTACAAGCACCTGGCTGTAAAAAAACGTTTGGACCTTACATTACCGGTACATTAGCAATGACATGACTGAATATAAGTGTGACAGGAATGGAAGTTCGCTAGGAACCGTAGTCCGTTCCCCATTACTTCGGTCAGACGACATTCGTCCCATGAAATAACCCCAATACCACAACTTACCCTAACCTGTACTAATCATGACACCCCGGACTTCCATTGCTAGGACTACCATTCCTGTCACACTGGTACTAAAATGCGCCAGGTGGAAGACAAAATAAAATGTCGCATATGATGCACCAAATGTTAGACAATTACTGTGAGATTTAACTACATTTGCATTATTAAGGAAAGTATTACCTACGCTGCATGTACTGTGGTTGTTCATGAGGTACATGTAACAAAACACCTTTTTAAAGAACGTGTCCTTACCTTTCGATGACTTTTCTTCAATTTGGTCAGCAGGAATATATCGTCAAAAAGGAATATATACATCTCTTGTCCTTTTGATTGCTCTGTGGTAGGGGAAAAATATATAACTGCTGTTAACTGCTCTTCACGTACATTTATGTAGATAAGGAGGCAAATTAGCCCCAAAACACTAAACACACACTTCATCAAGTTATCTCTTTACAACATGCAACTTCCCAGTTAGGATTACATTCAGAATACTGGCATTTGCCGACTTTTCCAGAACTTATACCGTTGACGAACGGTAGGTGAATTCGAATCATAGTATAAGCTCATGTGACTTAATTGTTTGAGTTTCATGTCAATTGGGATTTGATAAAGAAACCTAAATACATACCAACCAATGTCACCGGGCCCTCGTACATGAGATGTCTCTTTGGGCTGGCCAACAAACGTTCACACGGCTGCTGACTCAATGTAGATTTCAAAAACTAAAATAAAATAATACATAATATATACTGTAGAAATAAATATCATAATAGGGACTGTAGATAAAAATATAAAAATAGATACTATAGATATAAACATGGGGAAAACATGCGACAGCTTTTGTTAACACTCGTGACGGCATTATGCGTCTACAAATTTACTACTAATAATAAAAGCTTATGCAGTCATTGTATACATATATAATAACATACATATACAACGGAAATTTATTACCATGTCATGTTTAAAAAGATACATTAGAATGTCTAAAATGAAAAATAAATGACATGTATCAACAAAAATATCGTAGTATTTACAGAGATGAGGCGGTTGGATAAAAGATTTTTTAAAGTTTCCTTCCTCTAAAAGTTAAGTAAACTTTTGCCAAAAAGAACCCTTAAAATACCATAAGCAGGGCGAGTTGTATTAATCATAATCTTTTCGGTTTTAGAAAAAATTCTTTCCATATGAATGCTTATCAGAAGGGGAACATCCTATCTCACGATTCTACTGCACGAATCAGTAAGTTTTATCTAATTTCTTACTTTGTAGCATGACTTTTGCCCTATTCCAAACCGACTACGAATTCCACAAACCGCCATGAATTGATTAATTCTAGAAATCGTGAGTAATCGTGGAATTTTGCATATTTCTGGTAGAAATCTTGAACCTGTAGGATTCAATTACAAATTTGTTAAGATAGACTTGAGAATATTTGTGGGGTTCTGCTTGAACAGCGCGAATGTTGTCAAGAAAGTTAGAAACATTTACGATTTGCAACAATGACAGGAATATTTCATTTAGGATTCAGTTAAGAGAAAGCTAAGTATCTGCCGATTGAGCCTACGATTTTGGCGAATGTCATCTTGACTATTCTTGAAATTTCAAGGAATGTTCCCTCAAGACAGAATCGTGGTCAGTCGTGGTCAGACGAACTTAACCGTAAGGTTGGATTGCACAGGAATGGCTAAAAGAATCAGTTACGATATATAAGTATGTACCACGGATTTGTTAAGAATTAACATTATTATTATTATACACGTTTTTTTCACTCGGGAGTTCGGGAACAAAACTTTTGAACAGTTCAAAACTTGTGTCCCAATTTCACAATTTCTCTATTTATGCAAGAACTGCCTGAGAATAAATAAGAATCAGCTTAAGAGCTTAAAGAATTTATCACGATTAAAGCAAGAACCCTGGGATTTATCATTTCCTGGCGGTTCGTGAAATTCGCAGTCGGTGTGGAATAGGGGTATATGCTATACTGTTATTGCTAATGTAAAAACATTTTAAGTCAAGCATTCTACATGTATGATAATACGATAGATTCATTCTTTCAGCTTTATTTTAAAAGTATTTTAAAAGTATATCGTTGTATTCTGCCTTAATGCATTACGGCTCGTTCGATCCCTGACTGATCTTGGAATTATTTTTCATTTGGAATCGCAAAAATAACAGATATGACAATCATGAGACTCGCAAAAGTGCAGGTTTACCTCGGGAATAAATGACTTTGGGTCTGTTTCTGAAATAGACGGCCAGACTATCTGATGCTGAATCTCCAAAACCCGCTCAAAGTTTTTGACCCACTTCATTTTATCATTAAGTTGCTCTGAAATGAAACGTAGGTCAGAGATCAAAGCCAGAGTTCAAAGGCGCATGCTTGAGTATCATGCTGAAATGGAAATCCAAAGCATTATGTCACATTTGATGGAGATCGCACATTTGATATTCTCATACCGATAAGTTAAGGATAGCGAAAAAACATTTTTGTGTCTGTTCTATTTTGTTGCCTTGTGTACATTTTTGTTAAATGATAAATAAATGATAAATTAAGCAACTGCAGGTCCATCTTCCCAAATCAACTACATGTACCTAATGATTTCTCTACGTCTTCTATTGATTCTGTGAGCTGCATCCTTTCCTCTGTATTTTCTGTGTACTTTCTTATCTCTTTGAGCAAGAGAGGCATTTTTGTCCAATGTTGCATTGGTGCCACCAGGAGATCTGTTAGCTGCAGTCTGTTACACCTAGGGTCTTGGGAGCACCACTAAAAAAGATGTAACTTTAAGTCACCAGCTGTTAAAACAACTTATTATGCACATGGAAACAGACGGGTTAAAATGTGCCTACATTTGTGGCAATTTAGGAATTACTCTAGTTCACGTATTTCCAGAGCCAACTGTATAAACCCTACAAACAAAACACAAAACGTGGACTGTCTTCGTAGATAAACGAACACATGAAGACAGAATACATGACATTAATACGATTAAGAACATAGAAATATCGATTGCTCCGCCTTTAACTCAGCAGTGGGTACACTACCACTAATCAGTATGGATACAGTGCACATCAATTACTTATAAAACTGGTAAGTTTTAGTCTATTTATTTCAAACCTCAATGCTAGACTTATAAAAATAGTCACATCACGATCTCGGTACACAGTCTCATGTTATTTCGTCTCACGTGACTTACTGCCGAGGTGTTCATCCTTTTTCCATTAGGCTTACATTTATCCGGTACGTTTGCTCAGTTTGCTTTTATTATAGTATTGACGCATATTCGTAGATATATATATCGTTATCCCAAGTTCTAGATAATTTTTCCTTTGTCATAATCATGTAATTGAGCACATCAAAGTTTTCTATTAAGTATAATTCTGTTTATAACACAAATAATCTGTTTCAGTGAGATGTGAATGAATATTCAATGGCATATTTAAGTATACATTTGACCTAAAGCAATGGACACGGACGCCTGAGCTTGGGAAAATACTGAGGTTGGTGTAGTATGGCGTATTGCCATACATAACTTTCAGGCCTACCCAACTACCAGACTCGGCACCGAATGATCCTGAATTCACCGGTAAATCGGACCACACTACCCGTTTTCAAGGTGTGTATCAGTACGCATTTCACAGTATCAGACGCGACACCGTTCTTGCCTAGTACGCGATGTGATAGTGACGATTCTCAGAGGGGTTGAAATGCATTGCATCATCACTCAAAATTTGTTCAGGGTATGATACTGTGTAATGCGATCTGACACACACCTTGAAAACGGGTAGTGTGGTCTGATCTACCGGTGAATTCAGAATCATTCGGTGCCGAGTCTGGTAGTTGGGTAGGCCTGACATTGCTCACTTTTATCTTCGTAGAATCCGGGTGCAGTGAATCAATTCGTTTATTTTTTTTTCGTTTATATGAAAATTCTAAAATATCATTACTATCTAATTTAGTTATTTACTTTGATTAATTGGATAATTCCTTTTTTCGAAAGGCAAATGTCTCTTTCCCATGAGAGGTAGCATTTATTCTGGTGATTTCCCCATTTCACTATGCCCTACCTTGTCGAATTCTCCGAACTCCTCGTGTTGTTTTCGCACGTTCTCAAGATGCGCTAGGGCATTGGAATAATTCAAACAATACCGGTGATACACCTCCCCGTTTCTGGAATGTTTGGTTAACTGGAACACAGAAATACAGAATGAAATGACAGAATTAATTTGTATTGGTGCTGGAGCCTTACTTAAACAAAGCACTCTTATTTCTTTCCTTAGTTACAATGAAATATTTATCACAAAGACTCGACTCTTGTTTTGTGTAATTATGTGTGCGGTATAGGAAAGAGGGTCGTTCAAAAATATCACCCATGAGTGAACTATTAAAAACGAAAATTGTTAGATAATTTACTGATACTTCCTGGTACAAGTATACCCTTACTGCGACTCTAATATTAAAATATAAATACCAAACACGTATACAGTCCATATTTATAGTCATTTCAATGTATGTGCTTCCTTCGCCTACGTCGACTAGTGTAACGCATTGTTTGAATAAATTATACATGTATCTCATTTTTGAAGTTCTTTTCAATGTAACAAGCAAAGCTGCTTTAAACCTTGGGTTTACTGGGAAATAGCTTTTTGATTTGATTAATACGACTACATAGGCTATGATAATAGGATCAGATTAAAATTATTTAATGTAGACGTATAATAAGGTCGTACATGTACATACAAAAACTTTTTTCCAATCGTCGACTGTCATGCAACAATCATGCAACAGAACTCTTAACCTTTCTGTAGTTAAAAAAATATTTGATACTCCATTCTGATTGCTTTGAAATAAAGATAACTGAGGCAGGTTGCTCCTGGTTAAGGAACGGTACTGTATGCATGCAGAAGCTGTGAAAATGCACTGGCCCAAAATAAGACATGGCCAGGTAGTAACAAATTACGACATTAGGTCGTAGGAACCTAAGGGCCACAAGTCTATGGGAAGGAGGAGCAGGGAGCAAAAGTACGGTTCCCAAAATCATACAGTTAGGACAGACAAAATCTGTAAGTTGTTTTTGCCAAATGAAAAAAAAAACATCTGGCGTTAGTCAGGTGGAGATAATTTATGAGCGATCACAAAAATCACATTTCCTCCCTCCATTAACGTACCTCGACCGACCCTTAAATTTAGCTGTTATGCGAGTTAAACATACAGAACTTTTTTAACAAAAAATAATAATAGTCTACCGATCCTCTTTCTAGAGAGACGCTCCTGTAAACCAACTTATCAGTTTTCTCTAGCCTTAAAAACCATGATCTGCAGCTGGTAGAACAATAAGTGTGATTTCTAGAAAACAGCAAACTACTTACCCTTTCAAAGGCACTTATTAACGCGGCTGTGCTACCAAAACACGTGGGCCCCATGTCCTTGAGCAGAGATGCCAGGAAGTCTTTGCAGAATGTATAACTCACCTAATGTTCGAAAATGAGAGAGTGTAGTAAGGATGACCAAACCTACCTTGTGCAGTTAGGGTAGTAAAATAAAATTATTATTTCTAGTGAAATATTTGTGTCATTTCTATCTCTAATGACGTGTGGATAAAATGGACAGGTAAACAAAAACGCAATTCACAATTTGTCTTAAACTTTCAGATTAAAAAAGTTTAGCAAAATACAGTTATTTTAGCGAAAGTGCCACGGCGTAAACACGTTAATTAAAACATGCAGCTTTTCCCGATATGGTCAAAAATATCAACTTGTTGCAGAAATAGACTTAATACTTACATAGCACAGTTCGTCTAAATTACCAAAGAGCTCCTGGACATCAGCTGACATCAAGAAACCTTCTACTTGGACCTTTTTCAAAGGTTCCATAAAACACTGCAATGGATATAAAACTGTTATATAACGATGATGTTATTACACCCCAAGAATCGTTTCATTCATATCAGTGTAGTTTTACAGAATGGGCAACTAATGGATAGACTAACGATTTTGCCAGAGTTTGCCTGTGGAGTATTTACTGACTAAATGTATGGGTCTAACTAGCTGGAATTTTTATTTGAATTATTTTCCGTGCTGTCAATAACAAAACGCATGGCCTCTGTATGCTCTCTATGAACCTATCGCTTTCGATTAAACTGAGGGAAAGAAAATGAGTATCATTAGTATTTCACTTTATTTTCCGTAATTTCAGTCTGTGTGTCGATCGATCTTAATTCTCGATAGTACTTTTATTTCATTCCTTTACCAAATACAGAGATATCAAAGAGCTTAATTCGGTAGGTAACAGAACAGAATAAATTCAGTTAGATTCTGACTAGAACTACGGGTGCGCATCTTATGCCCCTATTTCACACAGACCACGAATCCCCAGGAATTGACAAATTTCAGGATTCGTGAGGATTCGTCTTATTTTGCCAATTTTCTGGTCTAATTCGACACGCTCTACGATTCAGATGCGATACAGGTGCGATAGTGTTACGAATATTCGTGGGATTCGGCTGGAATCGCACAAATATAGTCCAGAAATTCACTACGATTTTTTGGAATCGGGAGTTCGTGGCCAAAATTTTGAACAGCTCAAAATTTTTGCCACGAATTCCCGATTGATCAAGAATTCCAAGAACTGACTACGATTATATACGAATCTGTTAAGAACTTCACGAACTGATTACGATTCAACCACGAATCCTGAAATTTGTCAATTCCTGGCCATTCGTGGAATTCGTGGTCTGTGTGAAATAGGGGCATTACGATAGACTCGTTCGCTCTAGACTAAACATACATTCATTTTCTGCAGTACAGTACAAGAGATATACAGACAGAAATGAAACTCGCATAAGCTTAAATATTTACCCCTGCTTTGAAATCTTGTTTCTTTTTAGAAAATTCCTAGTCTTTTTCAGTTTATACGTTTGTATTGTCCTCTGTAATCCAGCTTAAAGGGACAAAAACCGTTCATTTTGACCAAAAATTGATATTCCTGGTGTAAACAACAATTTCCCAAACTTAATGAATCCCTTCCGACATTCAAAGTTAGTCACTTTTTTGTATAAATCTCTTTAGAGATTATTACGGAGGATAGCCATCTTTGGTGGTCACGTGGTCCGATCGAAGGCTTAGATTCCAAAAATAATTGCGATAACCGCAGTTTTGGTGGTAAAATAGAATTTATTATATTTCTAGGATTTTGTTACATTTTTTATTGTGAAAATGGATATCATACGAAGAGATATTTTCCCTTTAAATACAATATCAGTATAGCGCAAACTACAACGGTTTCCAAAATTCTGTACTAGCCCCCTCTGAGATCAGAGACAGGAACTGGATGGATTGGTACTTACGTGTTTTAGCACCATGAGATGGTCGACAAGGAATACACATTCACTTTTGAGAAGCTCCCACACAGCTTCTCTCCTCTTCCTCTCTGTCTCTGGTATAGGTAGAGAATCCCCAGTTGATTTGTCAGTACTGGCAATGAGGTCTGACCAATGTAAGTCCTGGAAGGTTTGTTGAGCAGTGAACATAAATCTTGTACTAAAAGAACTACACTTAATCAAACAGAATGAAGGGGGCTGGGGTGAGGGGGGGGGGGAGGCTGGGACAAACTACGTGTTCTAGCTGTCTATATTTAAAAACTGCAGTACCTATAACGCAACCAGGTGAAACGGGTTTTGTATCTACATGTAACGTCTACATTTTCTTTGATGGCAGGCCTACTAGACAGCACTTAGAACTCATACATTTTAGACGGTTATATAATATGGTACGAAATGCAATAAAATAATTAATGTAATAATATAATTACAATTAATGAAAACAGTGGCAATAAACAAGGTTAACTTGATACATACTTCGCATTGGTGAGTGCTGATATAAACTTGTACACTAGTCCAACGTCAAGTGGGAAATATTGCTTTGACTTCGAACATGTTAACACTAAGCAATTTATCACTTTATTGACACGTATCACTGAAGTCAGGTGCCACAAAACCAAACAGACAGACATACAAATGCCAAAATGGAACCAATGACAAAAAAACACATTTAAAATGATAAATACATGTTGCACTATCAGTATATTAACAAAATGCCTATATCTTACAATGAATGACGGGACCAAAGTAATCTTGTTCAACCCGTTAGAATATTTAATTGTCCACACTTTCTCTCAAATTGTCTATTATATATGAAATTGCATAATCAAAGAAAAAACAGTATTCAATCCTATAAATTTCCCTCTTATTTGCTTTACGAATAAAAATTTCGGGATAGTGCACGGCTACAGCAAAGGCTGAAACAAGCGCAGGTGACGGCTTTATGTCCAGACGCAGTGTCTGTAAACACTGACATGTTAATTCCCATTTCCCTTTTATTATATTGGTGGAATATTTCAAGGCGTTCGAATAAATCGCCCAAGTTTCACCTTACTGACTGTAAATATAACTATCTGTGCAACGGCGTAAGATTGTCAGCTCCCTAGGTGTAATTGGATAACTCATAGTAACTGTTCTCTTATTTCAAGGACCAAAGCATGGTGTTTTCCATATAACCCCAGATAATCAAAAGAGGCGGCGCGTGTGTATGGATTTAGAGAGAGAGAGTTCTCGTCAAACCTCTGACACTGTGGGGAGGGGGGGGGGGGGGAGAAAAAGTGTATACCAAGGCATTAATTCTTCTCCAGTCCGGGTGACAAAATGCTGACACAGACGGAGACATCGCTCTGACAGCCAAGATAAGATAAATTGATTCCCCATCCAGACAATTACCACTGTGGCATTGGAGAACATTTTCGCTGTATGCTTTAAGTGCGATTATCTCTTTTAGCTCCGTTATCCAAAGGCGATGACTTTCCCCACTGGAAAAAGGTAATAGTCCCTGAATGTGTGAAACTCCAACCATTGCTTTAAAAGCACTAAATAATTGAATTCCTTAGCCATCACGCCTTCGATAAGAGCGTGAAGGTTTTTAGCGATGAACAGTTTGGATTCGTTGATAAATAAATAATGCTATTTCCAGGTCATATTTTAGAATCTGCATGGTTGATGATAAGGTTGATTGAACTACGCAGTACAGACATTCATGCGGTGCACATTACTTTTCCTAAACGGAACAGGAGTCTTTTTTTTTTGTTGATGGTTAATCGTTAAAACCCATGTACCTCAACTATAAAGAGACGCCAAAAGTAAACACGAGATAGTTGCGTGGTACATGATGTAGTTAGATAATGGGTACTTATAACTCTTATTTTCCCTGCAAAACCAAGATTAGCCAAAAACGATACCATTTCATAACGCCACTTACTAATGGAAAATCAGCTAAAAACGTGGCCTAAGAAATCATTTAAAGAAAAACATTCACCCAAGCGAATAACACTCTTGCTGAGAACAAAACAGGTGCGAAATGTATGCTGTGATGCTGCTAACTACGCCTTATAACTGGCCAACTCATTTCCTCTATGAATTACACTTAACTGTTAGCTATATAGAGATCCACATATATCATAAATGTACGTTATCATGTACTATATGCCGAGGCCAAGCCACGCACGCCAACAGCCATTCCTGCAAACACGCTAGAAACACCTGTCTGCTTTGAGGTTACAAACGCCCAAATGGACAAAACATATTTATCATTATTCATGTATTTATTCATTTTGTTTCTAATTCTCCTACAGGATGACTCCACAACTGGTAAGGGTTGTCTGAATAGCATGAATTGGTTGAATCTGAAATAATTGCCTTTGAAACTCGATTGCCATTCACAGTTTACTGGTATTTGTCAGTTCATTCCAGTGTGTGTATTTAAAAGTTAGTGAATTACTTACTTTATACCGAATTAATGTATTGTCCTTAAATTCGGATGGCTTGAGCTTGCTCAACATTTCCTCGAATGCTGCAAGGGTTTTGCTTCTTTTTTTATCAATCTACAACAAAAGCAACAATAGAATTCGTGTTACTTTATACATGTAAGTGGGGAAAGTGTCAGAACCGAGTTTAATTAAAGTTTATGTTAAATGTATGTGTATGGAAAGATGGGATCTTGGGAATTCAAAATAATCCAGTCTTATTCTTCTGGTATGGGAATGTAATAATGGACAACTCGACAGAAAATCTAATTACACTCATGGTTATTTAAAAGCCAATGTATTCAAGTAGGCATTACAACAGACTTTTTTTGCAATATCCTTATTGTAAAAAAATGATATTTCTACAATCAATGCATTGCCTATAAGTAAAATTAAATTATGTGGCAAGTGTAAAGAAAGAACAAAGGCAACATGCCAAGTCCCCACGTCACAAAATGTAACTACCCCAAAGACATATTTATCACACAATTTCTCGTTAACCTTTCAGTGCCGACATGAAATTACGGAATATCGATAACAACTTTGGGTGCTGCATGTAAACGAAGTATTTAATTAAGCCTATAGATCATTGTATCTTTTCCCATTCTGTGAATTATTGGTTTGCTTGGATTCGAGGTTTCAACTGTCTCATCAAACTGAGTTTTGCACACTGGCTGGTAATGTCTTTGATTGCCACATGATTAAGTAGCTTTTTACGCGGTATTCAATCTGAAATATGAACACTTTTGTATTTCTTTGGTCGAGGTGAATCGTATATTTTGTCAAAACAACTTACCAGTTTGAGCAATGAGAGAGATTTGACTTTCTTTGCATCTGAAAGAAAGAAAAGACAGTTCCGCATTACAAATTGGAGAATAATTAAAGCAGTTGTTGAAGTTAAGTAGCTAATTTACAACACATATCCCTCTTTTTGAGGTGCAATCTCCATACAGACGCTGGAGGTCATGAATCTACGTAGTTTTTTTCTTAACTGTTTAACTCTTTGGTGTGACTTCCCTGTGAGTGACGAGCGTTGTCTACCCCTTGCTCTCCTCCCCTCTATTCTGTCAGTGATTGCTAAATGGTTTAGATCTTCCTTTCTCATGATGTGAGCTTGAAATTTCACCTGATTGCCTCTGCTCATTCACAAATTTCCTTTAGTACCTGTTCTGGTTAGTACTACCTCATTTTAGGCAACTTAAGTTCAAGAGATTCTCACTGTCCTTCGATAAAACTACAATTCAGTTATGTCTAGGTTTATTCTCCGTTCTTGTGATATAGCCCTGCTTCGACTTACATATTTCAGGGTCGGGAAATGTAACATTTTAGAGCTCTAATTCTAACTGACATTTTTTATTTTTCTTTTTTAGAAATTTTCTCTATGTCATTTTTTGATGATTATTTACAACTCCCTGTAATTACATCTATTTCCAAAGAAAATAGTGAAATATGTATCCTTGCCACCCTTGTTAGAATACGTACATGCTGGTGCGTACACACACAAGCATTCATACATTTCAACCTCACCTAGACTGACAAGAATTAAATCCACGTCACAGTATATTTTAAATGATAAAAACAAAGTAATCACATCCCTGAGAAAGCCAGGGCTAGTAGACAGAATTTATATGAGTACCTTAAGTCATGTAATCTAGGGATAAGACCATCTGCCTTTTCGGGATTTCAAAACATTTTGACTGCACTTTTTGTTTTTTGTTTTTTTTTTATTGATTGATAGCTTGATATGCAATACGAAAAACATTAAAGGTTAATTTTCATCTTTTCAATGTGAAATGTGATCACCAGCTGACCTAATCAAAATACATGATCATCTGTCTACTCTGAAGCCTCACAAAGCAGACACTGTATTTAAATAGAATTTTAAGTTTTATTATCATCACCATCACCATCCACTCTCAGCAGGTTGACTGTCGTGGATCGCCACGTCACTCAATTTTGTGCCATACTTTCACTATATTCTTAATTGGTTTATTATTTTATGTGGATACTTAGCAGTCTAAGGCCGACCCACTTGAATGCATGTTCTGTAATTCCCGTGAGGAATTTATACAGTGTCTAATCGGGAATTAAGCGGCAAGCTTATTAGTGGGCCGCCATATTTGATCTGCGAATCTGTTAGTCCGCTGTTCTCAATGCGCTTTTATACACACATTATCTTAGAAAAAAGCAACATTAATCTTTGCAAAATATCTCACCATGAAACCTTATCACTTTTTGCTTACACATCATCCCATGACGTGCGGTATGATGGATGTGGTATTCAACAGCGTTCTTATACAGGCGCTATGCAAGCGCGCATTCAGAACAGAGAACTAACAGACACGCGGATAAAATATGGCCGACCCACTTCCATGCTTTTTGCGTGATCCCCGCGGGGAATCTATTTATCGGGAATTAAGCGGCAAGCTTTTAAATGTGTGGCCATATTTGATCTGCAGATCTGTTAGTCCGCTGTGCTGAAAGAGCTCTAAGATGTTTTCGCTTCACTAAGGTGAGGGGAGTAAAACATGGCAGTGACATCTGGTCGAACTGTTTTATTCAAAACATATTTAAATATTTAAGATGAACATTTCATATATACCAGTTATAACACCAATGGGACACACAAAGGCAAATTAATATAATTGTCCTTCAAAGACGGATGTGATAAATACCTTCATTTTGATTTAGACTCTGCGTCGAACCGCTCTGGGATCGTGGTAACCCAAAATCGGCAATCGTGTTTCTCTTTGTTAACACCTTCTTCCTATGTCTCCGATGTTCGGCGTGGTTAGTTGAAGGCGGAGACTTTGGTGCTCCCTCAGCCGTGTCTGAAGGCAGATCCCCCAAAGAACTGCGTCTACGACGTCGTAACGACGGGCTGCAAAACATGGCAAAAAATTCGAAGTAAGATGCTGATGCGTTACAGTGAAACAAATCCGAGCTAATAGAACACTGACAATCCAGCAAACAGTGCCTTTCTTAAGCCTGGAATGAAGACTGATCTCGCCTTGATCACAAGTATGTGTTCCTTGCAGTGAGAGCTGATGGAATCAATGGAACTGCCAATAATCACCAGCTCCCGCCAATGGACTTGCTTTAGAAACCCCTATTTACATTGAAACCAAATAACTTTTGATGTAGAAAATTTGCGTTCACTGGTTGTTTTTTCATTGAGGTGCTCAATTACATAGATATCCTGCGATTCTGCTTGTATTTCTGTCATGAAACCTAGGCAACGAAAGCCAAAAAACACTTCCTCTTGAAATACATTGAACTGGTACGTTATGCCATAGTGTTACTCAAGTATTTTCGTCAGTTAAAGGTGCTGGCAGTTTGTTCGTTCTGAACACGTGATTTCCGTGCCTGTCATGTAGGGCAATGGGTTAACGACGTTTGTGATATGAGTATCCAATCTTTTCGCCCGGATTAAAGAAGGGTCGATTTCGGAGAGACTGATAGGCTACTGTTCATTAGGAACAGAGACTTGGAATAAAACGAAAACACTTTACATTGAAAAAACAAACTTTACATCCCACCTAAAATCAGATTGTGAATACTTTCATCGTGATTTTAGGAAATTGTTAAGTCAATAATTACATTCATAAAGATAACAGTTTCATAACCGACAATTGTAATATGGGTCACTATTTAATAAATACCACGAAATAGTTTCTATAGTTTAAAATTGACCATGTACATGTGTGGCTTCTTTTGTTTTATATTACAGTTATTACAGATATGTCAGGTAATTCCGCCTGTGAAGGTATAAAGCTCATGGCCCTCCGGCTAATTACACGTAAGTTTTGCATTGCACAAAATATCATGCATACATGTTCCTTTTCGTGGCTTCTATTGATCTTCTTTGAGAAAAAAATGAGGTGGAAAGTCCGTAAAGCGTCCACAGAAATCACCTTCTATCAATCCAAAGTCACTCATTTCTGTTCAACATGAGATGATAAGTAAAACAACGGTTCAGCGGTTCTGCACTTCTGACGTCAAAGCTGTCGGTATTGGACGTTATCATGTATAAAGGCTTGATTATCGTACAGTGAAGCTCTTGCAGACGCCAAACAGACACGACGGTTCATTAGATAATTCTTTGCTCGTCTCTCTAAGATTGCAACTGCGAGACACAGAGACGGCGCCATAGTGCTAGTAAGGAAAGGGACTGTAACAACATTAAATCTTTTTGTCCTTGATGTTATTTAGATTTGATCTCGTACAGTATTTGTCCTCACACATACCTGCATAATTTATCAACCATCCCTGCCCAATGATAGTATATAAACATATGCTAGACCGTCTTCTTAAAGAATGGCGGGGTAAATGAAATGATACATCTCTATCTGCAGTTGTCTCCATTAAAAGTAGATACAAAACGTTCACATAATAACCTGATTAATCTATAAATAGACGCCCTTCTTCCGATTTCGTTACTCGCACATCAGAATCAATATCGAATCCGCAATATGATGTTTCATCTCCGTAAAAAAAAATAAATAAATAAAATAAATAAAAAAATAAAAACAAAATAATCAGAAAGATAATTAAGGGTCATTAAACCAAAAGGATGTCAAAGGTTATCTTTCTTGATTTAAATATATTTCCTATTCAGGTTTATTGTAACATGTCTGTCCTTTAACCATTGCACTTTTAATTCACTCTCTATTATGTGCTTGTCTGATTATTTATTCTGCTGGACGGTGACTACTATGAGGGCTGTGTTTCAGGACCTACTTAAAATTACAGTTATACAATATTACTTATAATGGTTGTTGAAATCCAAGTCACTATATTAAACTTTTAAACGATAATAGAAAATCACACTGGGTATATAAAGTGACATACTCTAGAGATAAGATCATCTGCACTTTCGTAAGTTAAATAATACAAATATCTGGGGTTGATGTTCATTTTATTTCTGAACTAAGTTGACTAAATTAAAAGTGCATGGCCCGTCTACTCTGTAGACTATGCATTTATGCAAGAAATAAGGCTTACAGAACAGATTACGTTCCAAAGCATGTCGAAGAAATACAGATTCTGAATGTGATCTTACTTAATGATTGTAAGAGCCAGTTGTCAGTTAATTCTAGACTTGGGAAAGGGCTAGAACAGTGATCGACACATTCTAGAAGCCAGCACTTACTTTTCCATGCAAAATCCAATCTGAATTTGTCAGAGGGTCTATTAGATTCAAACCATTTTAACTTTCCGTATTGGGCGGTGCTACTTCAATGACAGGAGGGTAAGATAATGCATCTCTCGGATATACACTAAACTAAGAAAATATGTCTTTTGCCTTTTCGATAATGGGAAACCATTGGAAAAGTGCAATACCCTGGGGTTATCGGTTAAGATTCGATTTGAGTTACACGTGTGTCTTCTGTTTGGGGCCAGAAAGTAAAGCAGAACAACCAAAGGGGCATACAATCTCATTTCTACGTCACAATACTACCTTGTCGAAACAACGCCATGCAAACAGCAAATTAAAATTATGTGGCTCCTTAGAATGTCCCTTCTGGTAAATTACCATCTTGAACATTTGACGACTTCTTGTTTAATCAATTTTTAAAATGCAGTTATCTTAGATCCACAGTTTTTTTTTCAATTTATCAACCTTTTGTCGTCGTCATGGGATTAACTTAAGTGTGGATTTTGAAAGAAGAAATGTACCCATATTCCCTGTCATATTCAAATCGGCAGCAACGGAAAAGACTATTATTAAGTTACATTCTGACTTGATTTAATCAGTTCATTATTCGAGATATTTTCGGACATAACACAATACAAGCAACAAAGCTGTACAATTTACAGACATAAAAGCAAATACTTATATACAAAATAGGTTATTTGGTCAAATTTGATGCAATTTTACATGATGCTTCACACGGAAACTCATCCAAGTTAGATGGTAGCTATGGATGTATCTGTTTGACTTGCGGAGAAATAGGGTCTAGTAATATAGATTGTGCATTTTTTGTAGAAAAGTAGGTCAAATGTCTAATTCAAGGTCACATAATACGCCCAATATATGATTTTCTTTTCAAGTTTAACAGAAACTATGGGTGTATCTCTGCAAGTTTTGGGGATATATGGGCTGCAGTAGTGGATTTCTGGTCCCCTCTTGTAATTAGAATTTTGACCAGCTGAATCATAGTTCTAAACTAGTACCAAATGGCACCTTTCGGCAAGTAGTGGCTGCTTCTCCCGGGGAAAATGCACCGATTGGCCCCAAACTCAAGATGATGAAAAGAGACCCTAAGTGTAACTTCTCACCATAGTGTCAAAGCAAACCAGCAAAAACTAATATTTTTCCACAGAAAATTTAAATTTTCACAAAGTTTAGGCCCATTTTTACCTTGAAATATAGGGCAAAGGTCACATATATGGTCACATTCGAAATATCCACATGACTTTTGGTCAAACATCTATTTTCAAGAAAAAAAAGCGAAACTGTTGGAAAAATGGCCTATCAAGCTTATGTTCAAACTCGACCTGTATTTTAGTAAAATTGAGCAGTCCTGTAAGTTTGAAGACAATAGGCCCATTGGTTTTCCTTGAAATGTGTTATCTGCATTATATAGTACAATATTTGATAAAAACAGTTTCCCTTTTAAAAAAATGTTTTATTATGCTAATTTTCGAACTCGACCTGTATTTATGAATTCTCATCAATTCTGCAAGTTAAAAAAACAGGTCGAGACTTATGGTGTTATCTTTGAAAGTGCACGATATGCCCGTACATAAAAAAGGCCAGCAGTGCTGTTCACGTGTACAGATGAAGGAAGAGACATCCTTTGTGTTATTTCAAAATGTTAACTACTGCAGGTGGATAGGAAATGGAATAGAGAGATTTGCTTTAAAAAGATGTCTCATGTTCGTGAATTACTTACTAATTAAATGCCATAATACGGATTTATCGGGGCAAACATACAAAGAAAATGAATAATATATATAAAATATGAGTTTGTATTTTAAAGCAGAAAAAATTTAGGTACCTTTCGTCTTCGTCATCTGTATATTCTTCTGCAGGCGATATGTATGGGGATGTGTCCCCAATTTCCTGAAATGAAAGAAAAATGGCAATCTGTCATTCTTCAATTATCACTTGCTATTTTGAAGGAAATGAATGTCTGCATTCTCATTTACTTACTAAATCACTTCAGGATATGGCATCAGTTATCCCACAATTTGCCGTTCTAATCAATCGTCGTCTCTAACCTGAGTTTCAAAAATCGCCGCTCTTCTGCCGCGTCGGAGAATTGGCAAGGGTGTTTCGTGCGCATTTCGTGTTTCGTCTCCTTCATCACTTTCTTCTGACGTTGCAGCACTGCTTGAACGTGATGACTGAAAAGAACAAAACAAAACATCAATAACAAAAAAAAAAAAAAAAAAATGACCGACTTGTGAAAGTACGATTATGTTTAACATTTGTTACAAACTGCCAAAAGAACTAAGCAATGGCATAGATAAATGTTACCCTGTACTTAATGACTTAAGTGACCTTAATTATTGGAGAGTGATAGATTTTACGCGGTTCACAATAATATTTGGCCAGTTCTACACTGCGAACACATTAGCTATAATACTATCGTTAACCGCGATGATAACACTAGGATAACACCTGAAATCAACGGTAACCAGCAACAGCAGCTGCGTGCAGTCCTTGCGGTGTAACGTGACAGAGATTCCCCCATGACAGAGAGTCTACCTCCCATTCATTTGTACAGGTAAGCCTCGCCCTAGATTTTGACCCACGTAGGTCAGACTAACCCTAACCATTATAACTATATGGACGGCGAACTTTCTGTTACACAGACCCTCAGTTTCGTAACACCGATACCACTGTCCAGTAAACACCGCAGGCAGCCGAACGCAGTAACCGTTATGCTACATGGAAATGGAAAAAGATGTGGTTTGCTCTATCTTTGGTCCGTGCATTCACGTTTGGTGGCTATAGAGATCGATAAGCCAATTTTTTGATTATTTTAATAAAATAAAAGCTCTCCCACTCTGGAGGGCAAGAGAAAGCTTGAGCAGTAGGGGTGTGCCATATATCGCATACATGTGTGGGAAATGAAGGAATTATATAAAACTCTACCCTTTAATTCGAACTCCATTTTGCCCCGTCATAACAATGATAATTATTGCATGTATGTATACTACTGCAAGAGCTTGATATATTAAAGGGATAACAATTGTTCATTTTGGACAAAAAATTAATTTTCCTGGGGTAAAGGAAAATTTCCCCATACTTCCCAATGGTTAATGAATCCATTCCCACATTCCAAGTTAGTCCCTGTTTTTTAAGAGATTATTACAGAGTGTAGCCATATATGGAGGACACGTGATGTGATGGCAAGCACAAATTCCAAAATAAATGCGTTAACTGCTGTTTTGGTGGTAAAATAGATTTTATTTTATTTCTGTCAGTTGATTGCAGTGTATTGATAGTGAAATATTGATATCTTGCGAACAGTTGTTATCCCTTTAAGTGAAAATCCATCAAGAGCGTCATTTTGCTTGACCTGTCCATGACTGATACAAAACATCCGGTGATCAACCAATCTATTTTCTGACGTTTTATTTGATCATCAAAGTTCAACATGAAGCTACCGCACCAGAATAGTCTTGGGATTTAAATCAAGCATATATTTTCCTTTCTACTGTAGGATGATACAAACATTAAACTGAGAAGTGTTGCAAATCAATTTAAATTCCCCTTCTCATCAAGAAAGGTAACGGCAAAACATTAAAGAGTATGCATCACTGTAAGCATCTGACTCCATTAGATATACTACATAGTTACGTGGATTCTGAGTTTGGTCCTCCATTACTCACATTAACCAAGATGAGGATGTAAATCGGGCATCTAGTCATCACGCCCGGAGCACCGTAGTTTTGCATTTCATAAAACAATATTTTTTTACCTCGTCAAGCAAGTAACAACACGTAACATTCTTGAATGAAATCCAAAACTTTGAGTTACAACTAATAACAACAGACACCTATACGTCAAGGGCGGACCCAGGATATCAGTCCGGGGATCAGAGAGGCGTCATCGCCTCCTGGGCATGTACCAACAATCTTGTTCAGTTTTACTTTTAAGTAGTCTAGATCGCGACCACAGCACTATTTCCTGGTATCTTTTGGTAAGAACACAAAGAAATAGTGGACGAGTGCATTTAAAAGTATTTAGTTTTGGTATGTTATGGTCATTGCCTTAATAAATGTCAAAATATGAACGTAACGTTATAGATCTAAGACGATTTTGAAATTCAAAAGAATTATTTCATATCGAACACCTGACTTTAAAGATTATCCAACACTCATTCTCAACATATACAGGTAGGTCCATTTAACATTTTTCTCATTTTATTAAAAGTAAGCGAGTAGTAGTAGTGGTGTTGGTGATGGTCGTGGTAATAACACTATTTTGGAGGACAAACGCATGGCAAATATATTTTCTTCACTCATTAATTTAATGTGTGGGTGTGTGTGTTTGTGTGTGACATTATACTCACAAAATGGAGAGAAATAGGAGTCACTCTTCAATCAATTTAACAAACCTATCGTACTACCACTGCCATATTGAAAAATTGATCAAGACCAAATATATATTATAAGATATGAATGCAAGTATCCAGTGTCGAACCAAACAGGCAAGCTGATTTACCTCAGCCTAAAACTATAACCGATCGTAGGCAGTACTTCCCCGTCCTGGTCGAAACGTGGATAGGGAAAACAACACTTGCACTTTTTACACCGTCAAACATTTATTGCGTTTTAATCTTCATCCTAGCCTCATTATAGATAACCCGGTGTTATGAAGACACGGATCCGGGTGTTTTCGTGAAATAATTACATTTGTACGTGCTTCAGCTCATTAGATTCTTTTTCAATCATAATATTTTGCACAATTTTAATTTTCTAGTTTTGGATTTATTCAGTCATTCAACATGGCCCCGAAGGGAGGTCAGGTGCCTCTTGGACCATGGACATTTATAGGACCGACAGATGCACTGATCACTGTTTACATGCAACAAAATGAATATCAGCTTGATTATGGATATCCCTATTTTTGATGTAAGGGAGGTTTTTTATAGATGGAGAAGAGCAGGACCCGTCTCAGGTGACACCTTTCCCGTTCCACATATCTTCACTTTAACCTCTTTCCCCTGTTCCACCAATCTGCTAAGACAGATATGTTATAAAAGTATTGCCCTTCAATTTAGATGTATATTTACAGTTGGCATTTTTTTATTAGGCATGTACAGCCTAACGGTTTGTCCTAATCACAATACAACCGGTAAACAGTTCATAATTATAACAAAAAAAAGTTTGCCGAAATATGATTTACTTTTTGACGTACTGTATGTCACTAACCAGGTATGTTGCTTTCTGAGATCCCTTTTTCTGAGAAATGTTATTGCCCTTGTCTTGTTTCTGGCCATAAACAATCTACCACAATGTCACTATGGGTTACCTCACCTCTATTATGCGACTTCGTGTGGATGTTTTGGTGCTACGGCCGTTCGGAAGCCCAGGAACGTACACTGAGAAATAAATATTACATGTAGGAATAACGGCCATTTCTTATTTTGTACCTGCTGCTTTGTGGTATTCGAAATGTAGATTTCTAAGACTTCGCAGGAGTCATCTGCGAAACATAATTATAAATTGTTTTTTTGCTAGGGATATGGTTTCTTCTCTTGTGTATGAGCTGTAGTACGAAAAGAAAAACAAGTCAAATCGTAAGTGAAAATCGAATATATGCAAAATGCTTCATTTTTTTTTGCAACAGGGTTATGAAAAATACTGTATAATTTTGTTCAGTTTTACTTTTAATGTAGTCTAGATCGAGAGCACTACACTATTTTTACTACTTTTATTTACTTATTTCTAAACACCAACAGGGTGGCTCTGTGTGGTTTGCCTTCTTTTTTTATTTTAAATGGCTCATTTTACATTAACTATGAAATTTTAGAATGCTTGTAAAGAAAATATATAATCTTAAAGTGTTTTCATTCATAATCAGGAACAAATACAGCAGCAATATATTAATTATGTTATTATTTTCATTTACTGTAGCTCTCAGTCAACAGTCAACCACCTCAATTTTTTCAGGAGATCTTTTTATTATGGATAATTTTAATCAATAGGAATTGATTTTCGATAACAGAGTTATTAGCCAAGGTAAACCGGAAAAATTATCAACAGAAGGGCAACCTTTCCATTATTATCAACGCTTTACCTGTATACCTCCTCTTAATTGCCTCTGATCATATTGCCCTTGGCTTTAACCTTGGCGTTCCTAACGTTTACTGGAAACCTCCTAGTGAACAGGGAGGCTTGTGGCAATATATCACTGTCCTATTACTGAATGTGTGATGTTGTATACGGTACAAATAAATGCAGGGAGAATGCTTGTTTGGAGATTGAGACGTTCGTAATCAAATTTGCTTCGTTATCATTTAAGCACGTCTTTGGAAAATGTTCCATTATACAGTAATATTCCTTATCTTAGGCTTTTTAAGTCTACGAATTCAGTTATGTGCACTGTCAACGGAAGAATCGTCCTAATATCCCCATACATGCAGGTCTTGTACCAGTTCAAGGAATACATCATAGATGCGTTAATCTAAATGTGAATTGAAAAAGGAGTCCATGGCTATAAAACAAGATTGAACTAAACATTCCACTTCGTCAGTGAATGAACATCACACATACGCGCCTTTAAATTTAAGCACTAGATAAACGCCGGAATATTAAGTGCTTTGTTGATCTGCAGTTTTAGGAAACTGTAAACACATCAATCATGATGATTGACAAACGAAACTAAGTGGGTCGATTTTCCATCGTGATCCTCCTGCAGATGAAATATGTGTTCTTCTATCACTTGCAGTAACTGTGTCACTGTCAAGGAATCAGGTTCAATCAAATGTTGGGAGTCTTTTATCCCGGGAATATTACGACAATCCATATTTCAACAAAGGTAAACCAACTTAAAAGCACATGGTGTACATGTATCTACGTCAGAATGTAGGGTTAAGTCGATCTCATGAACACGCTTCAAGTTACAGCTGATGAAATGCTGTCCTTAATATCAAACCTTTACAGAAGTGAAACATGACCTCAATATATTATCTTTTAATGTCAAGTCCTACATCTGCTCCATACAAAGCTCTGAAAGGTATCATGCCTTATCTCAAGAAACGTACTACAATGTTTAATCAAAATGTTCTTTGTAGCATATATGAAAAAACAAGCCGTTAGTTGCGGTTATTATCACTGAGCTTAGAAAAAATTAAGACAAAACTTTTATTGCTTTTTTTGGGGGGGAGGGG